TGCCAGTGGCTGCTGGGCCAGCCGGGGCTGGCTGCCCAGAGCTGGGACCAGGTGCTGGAGCGGGAGCCGGGCCACCTCAAGGCCTTGTACCGAAGGGGCGTGGCCCAGGCCGCCCTCGGGAACCTGGAGAAAGCGACGGCTGACCTCAAGAAAGTGCTAGCGGCCGACCCCCAAAACCGCGCCGCGCAAGAGCAGCTGGGCAGGGTGGTCACCGAGGGCAAGAAACAGGACGCTGGGCTAGCGCGGGGTCTGCGCAAGATGTTCTGTTGATTAAAAAGAGTCAAGTTGCTAAAACTAAGAGACGGGAGCCCGTGGATTGTGTTGTGCGCCGCGGGGCCTTTGAGTTTGCACCCTGTGCTCGCCTACGGGGGCGGGGGGGTGTTAGCAGCGCTGTCACCCCTGGGGGTCGTGGTGGCTCAACCACCTCTGTGTGTGCATGCCTCCGTGTGCCTGCGGATGTCGTTGGGAGTCGCATCCCTGGAGCCGGAGCTACAGGCGGTTGTGAGGCGCCTGGTGTGGGTGCTGGGACCGGAATCCAGGTCCATGCGACAGCAGTGCGCACTCTCCCCGCCTTCTTTATTTTTTACTGTCCGTCTGTCTGCCTGTCTATTGTGAGGCAGGGTTTCTCTTTGTAGACCTGGAACTCGTTCTGTACACCAGGTTGGTTTCGAACTCAGAAATCCGCCTGTCTGGGGGTAAAGGCATACGCCACTACCTCCTGTGCATTAAGTGGTGTTGACTGTTGAGTGGTGGGCCTTTATTGGTGGATTGATTGGTTCATTCGTTCATTTATGACGTGCGCCCTGGTGCCTTCATGAGTTTACGAGCAACACGTGGGGTGCAGATGTCTGAAGAAAACCGCCGAGCCGCCGTCGTTCTAGCCCAGATGCGGGAAACTTTAAATAGTAGGAACTACATTTCCCACAAGGCTGGTCTCGGGTGGGGGCGGCGCGCCCCTCCGGCGCGTGCGCAGCCCCGGCCGGGCCGGGTGGAGTGGCTGATCGCTGCCGTGATCCCATTGGCCTGGCGTGCACAGTCACCGCTTTCCCTCGTGT